CAGGATTTAGCGTCTTAGGGTTTAGAACCATTTTGCTTGAAGGCTCACGCCGACTGAGCCTCACAACTAGGGCTACTGATGGGGTTTAGGGTTTAGGGTTTAGGGGGATAACCCCACTTCAAGGCGCTTGTAAGCCCAGGTCTATCTTGTCTATGACGTCCCTTGATCCTTGCAGTGAAACCCTCACTGCCTCCAGGTCTCGCGCGTCGGCCTGCAAGCTAAAGAAGCTGCCGATCAAAGCTTTCGATACATGCTGCAGAACCCTAAACCCTAAACCCTAACCCGAAACCTTAAACCCTAAACCCTCAATACATGCCGCAGAGCATTGGCTGGGGGGAGAAGCATTCCGCCTTCCTCCAAGTGTCATGGGATTCCACAGTCACCCAGAGAGCCCAATACCCCTCGATGAAGCCATATACCTTTGATGATCAGGGCCTTAATAGGATCATTGAAGCTACAATATGCATATATATATAGATATATATACAGGTGTGTGTATATATATATATATAATTTATAACACCTAAAGATCCTGAACCCTTACCTCGGTTCAGACCATGGCCCGCGGCCCGCAACACCCCATATCTTTGACCGAAGGCCATTCGCCTTGAAGCCTTGATTATGGTGTTTCGGGCTTCACCCCCCTCTTGGGGTTTAGGGTTTAGGGTTTAGGGTTTAGGGCCTTAAGCCCGAAACGAGGAGACTTTATGTCGCTGAAGCCCGTACCCCCAACCCTTCTATGCGAAATTCGTAGATCCAAGGCTTCGATGGGAGTTGTAATCGAAAAGATGCAGAGAATATAGTAGAAGACAGTAGACTATAGTATAACATAGTATATTAGTTGGGGTTTATGGTCCCTAAACCCTAAACCCTAGACCCCAAACCGTTGGCAGCCGGGGCTTAGAACCGCTGCCCTCATTTGTAGCATGTGCTTACAGTCCAACGCTGACCCAGCAACGCTTAACCTACAGTTGGCCTAAGCCCTCATCTCAGAGGTAAGCCGAAACCCTAAGCCCCGAAACCCTAAACCCTAAAGCCTAAACCTAAGCCCTAAGCTCTAAATCGAAAGGTGGCCGCCGTCCAGGGCGTTTCGGAGGGGCCCAGGGAAAACCCGCAGGCCCCTCCAAGGATAATTGTTGGCGGTTTAGGGTTTAGGGTTTAGGGTTTAGGGTTTAGGGTTTTCAAGAGTGATTTGGATATCAGGTGTTTAAAGCGTTCTTTTTTGTATCAGGTTTTTATCAAGGGTCGGCATGGGGTTTGGAGGCTAGGGGTTTGTGGGGTTGAATTGAAGTCTTGCGAGGGCTTCGAGTAGTTTAGGGTTTAGGGTTTAGGGTTTAGGGTTTAGTAGTTTTAGAGCCTCCTACAGCAGAAGCAAGACAGTTGGACCCATCATGATCCTCATACCCTTGAGGTACAACACAGGGGATTCCAGCATTAATCATCCCGCGTCCATGCCCCGACTTTCCTTGCGGTTAGTAGGGCTTACTGGTTTTAGGTTTCAGGTTTTGGAGTGTTTTAGAGTGTACATCAGGGTCCGCGGGTGGCCACAGGCCACCCTAAATGGGTTACAAACAAAGAACCATAAAAACCTCGGACTCCAATACTTCGACGTACGCATGAAGCTTCAAGTAGCCTAAGGTGCGGGGTTCGGGGGCACGAGCCGAAGCATGAGGAACGTGTGATGTCTAGCATTTGGGGTCTAGAGATTAGGACGGAGGGTGTAGGACAAACCCTACTTGGAGGATCATGGGACTTAGTAAGTAAGGTTATAAGTCCCTGAATTGGGGTTATAAGTAAATATAGGTATGGTTACCTTAATTATAACCCTACTTACTAAGTCCCATGCTCCTTTAAGTAAACCCTAAACCGTGCCAGATTTCGAGCTAGGGCTCAAAGCGTGGGATCCTGACGGCTTTTGGTTGAGGGCTAGGAGTTCGCACTTAGGGCGTAGAGCGCCGGGATTTCGGCCAGCGTTTCGGGGGCTACAGAGACTCGTTGTCTTATAGAATTTGTATATGCCAAATACACGCTATATGTGTTTGTGACTGAGTCGACGAGCTCCTTGAGCACATAGATGGGAAGTTGTTCTCTTCTGCAAGCTTGAGGCACAACGTGGAGGCGCCTCGACTGAGGGGTTTTCGGAGCACTCCGGCCATTCGGCTGAAGAGTTTGGGCAGCTCAAAGTCAAGCCAGCTGGGCAGAGCGGCTAAAGTAGAGGCCTTAATAATTAGAATATGGTTTTGGGGGTTCCTTATTATAATTATAGTATAGTATACCCCAAACTCTATTCTAACTATTAAGGCTCCTACATTAGGTGTCGAGGACATCGTGACAAAAGAGGACTTCGACGCCAGCCGAAAGCTCGGAACTGACGTGCCGCACTAGGCAGACAGGCAGCTTGCTTGGTGTTTTGTGTAGCGCCAAACCCCTAAACCCTAAACCTTCTTGCAGTGTACCGTACTGTCATCTTGCTCTTGGGCCGTTCTTCGACCTAGACCACAGACCCGAACTCCTAAAGCCAAAAACTCAAAAGCACATACGCCCCAAGCCTTCACGCCCTCCCTAAGCCCTCCAAGCCCTAAGCCCCAAGCCGTAAACCTAGAACCCTATATAGACCCTGCAATCTCTATAAGCCCAGCTACCCGCGAAACATGTCTTAACCTGCCGTAAACTCCTGTAAAGCCAAGCTCCACAGTCTGTGCGCAGTCACCTGAAGCCCTTGAAGCCCTATGAACCCCAACCCCAACTTATTTCAGCGCTAAGCCCCAGAAGCTTTATCGCCCTAAAACCCACTCAAACCTTGTAGCCCCAAACCCTAAACCGCATAAATCGTATAAGCCGCAAACCCGACATCAACCTTCAGCCCTATACCGTAAACCCCGTAAGCCCTAAATCCCTTTAAGCCCCAAAAGCCCTGGGACAGGGTGGCGATCCCTCAAGTGCCAGCCCAATCGCCGACTTCCTCTTCGTGCGTCCGACGGAGGCCCGGGGTGTTTTTTTGGTCTTCTAAACGACGGGATCTGTGCCCAGCTTAGGGTGCAGAGTTTAGGGTTTAGGGTTTTAGTGTTTAGGGTTTACGGTTTTGGGGTTAAGGGTTTACTCTACAGTGCAGGGTGCAGAGTTTAGGGGGTTTAGGGTTTTAGTGTTTAGGGTTTACGGTTTTAGGGCTTTAGGGTTTACTGTCGGGTTCAGGGCGCAGAGATTAGGGTGTAGGAGATTTAGGGCAGACTGGCATGCTGGGAGCTTCAGGGGAACTGACAAGGAGTCTTTTGGTTAGGGTTTAGGGTTTAGGGTTTAGGGTTTAGGGTTTAGGGTTTAGGGTTAAGGGTCCAGGGTCCATGCAGGCAGAAGGGCTTTTAGTTACTTGCAAGCTGGGATACAAGTAGGGTAGTTTAACCTATCCCAACCCTAAACCCTAAACCCTACACCCTAAACCCTAAACCCTAAACCCTAAACCCTGAGCCCTAAACCCATATCAAGCTACAGTCTTCACCGTCTAGCCCTGCTTAAAAAAGGCCCGCCCCCGGGCCTTCACCCTTTAAGAACCCTTCTATGAACCCTAAACTCTAAACCCTAAATCCTAAACCCTTTAAGAAGCTTTCTATGAACCCTAAACCCTAAACTCTAAACCCTGAACCCTTTCAGAGAATTCTTCTATGAACCCTAGGACCCCCTGTCATTTTTTGAACCCTTACAGGAACTCTTAGCGCTCCATTGCCTAAATTCAGGGCCAGGAAGACCTTATGAGGTCTTTCAGGTGTTGAGCGGGCCTGCATGGTCCTCGTAGTTACTTCGGAGCTGAGGTCATTTTTGAGGAAAGTCTTTTGGGGCTTCGCCCTAGACTTTACGCACCCTAAAGCCTTCAATCTGCCAGCCGGGATCTAGAATCCTAGACCCTAAACCCTAAACCCTACACCCTAAACTCTAAACCCTAAACCCTACAGCCTTAAACCCTAAACCCTGAGCCCTAAACCCTGAACCCTAAACCCGAAACCCTGAACCCTAAACCCTGAGCCCTAAACCCTAAACCCTGAGCCCGACAGCCCTAAACCCTAAACCCTGAGCTCTAAACCCTAAACCGTTCCGGTCAGCGCTTCAGGGCAGGGAGCGTGGAGGAGGTCTTGAGGGGTTCCGGTTGAAGGTCATATTTGGGTTTAGGGTTGAGGGTTCAGGGTTTAGGGTTTAGGGGTTGAAGGTCATATAGGGGCCTTAGTAATTAGAAGAGGGTTTTGGGGGTTCCTTTAGGTGTAGGGTCTAGGGACCTTAACAATTAGAATAGGGTTTTGGGGCCCTTTGTACTATACTTAGAATAAGGAACCCCCGAAATAGTATTGGCAAGTATTTAGGCCCCCTACAGTGGGGTTGAAGGCGTCTGATTGGGGCTTTTAGGTTTTAGGTTGAAGGTTGCCGCCCTAAGCCCTAAGCCCTAAACCCTAAACCCTAAACCCTAAACCCTAAACCCTAAACCCAAAGCCCTAAGCCCTAAACCCTAAACCCTAAGGTTTCAGATTGAAGGTTGCCGGCGTCAGATTGACGGGTTGATTTTGGGGATTTAGGTTGAAGATCCTTTAGGGTTTAGGGGATTGGGTTTAGGGTTTAGGGGGCAGGGCTTAGGGTTTAGGGTTTAGGGTTTAGGGTTTTAGGGGGTAGGGTTTAGGGTTTAGGGGATTGGGTTTAGGGTTTAGGGGGTAGGGTTTAGGGTTTAGGGTTTAGTGCAATCTCCAAGAGGCCCTACAAGAGCGCTGTGCAACCCACGTAATGCCACCACTGTCGACGTATTCAATCATATTGACAACATTTTCCAGTCCATTCAGATCTGCTGAAACTGTATATATGCAGAAACTGTGGACCAGGCAAAGAAAGTAAGAAGAAACAAAATCCCCGAACAACCGTTCTCAGTTTTTGCAATTGCGAGCCCTCTAAAGTCTAAACCTGGAACCCTAAACCCAAAACAGCCCACCCCGACCCCGAACTCCACAGAGCCTGAGAATCTTCCCGAGGTGTCTGTGCGCAGGGCAGTTGTAGCCCATGCAGGGTGGCTGGGCCAAAGAACTGGAAGGGGTTGTACATTTCGTGCCAGCGTTTGGGATTTCGGATTTCGGGATGTGGGAATTAGGGTTAGAGCTTTCAGGTTTGAGAGTTTGGGGGTGTTTTGATTCTGTGTAATGGATTCGGGTATAGGTCTTTGGGGTTTACTACTACTGTTACTATTGCTATTGTTGTTGCAGGATTTCGTAATACTTAAAAAGCTCGCAAGTCCCATCGCTGCGAAGATCCGGCGAGCATCCGCCCAGGAACGTGATGTATGCCATCGCGCACGAGATGGTCCAGCTCCTGAGCCATTGTCAGCGCGAAAATCGCTGTAGGGCTTAGGTCTATGGTTTAGGGTTAGGGTTGAGGGTTTAGGGTTTCGGCCTCAGGGTGCAGGGAGTTGATGTAGATTCTTCGGTTCGGGGCTTTTGACTTTTCTTGAAACAGGAATAGCGGCAGTAAGTGCTGCCTTGTGCGCTCGGAGTCATTTTGCGATTTTCGGCTTTGGGGTCTGCGCAGTTCGCGGTTAGGAGATTTCAGGCTCAGGGGTGGCATAGTACGGCCTGCACCCCAGAACTTCGACCTCCGAACAGAACCCAAGAATTGAACGTTTGGTAACGATAATACAGGAACGACAGGAACCTCATTAAGAAACCCTGGCCCTATCACACCAAAATAGTAGGGTTCATATACAGAGCCCTAATAAAGATCCAGGGTCTAATCAGGTTCCTACAAAACCGCAGAACCTCAGAACATTTAGGGGTTCAGGGGTTTCGGGGTTTAGGGTCTGGGGTTTAGTGTGTAGGATCTCCGCGTCTACCATGTTATCTCCTTTTCTTCATCTCCCCGAAGCCTTCGAGCGCAAATGATCCTACGGTTTAGGGTTTAGGGTTTGGGGTTTCGGGTTTCGGGTTTAGGGTTTAGGGTTAAAACTTAAGCCCCCAGCCCTAAGCCTCAAAACCCTAAAACCCGAAAATAGGGGCCTGAATGATTACCTATACTATTTTGGGGTTCCTTATGAGAGTTATAGTAAAATTTACACATTAACCCTAAACCCTAAACCCTAAACCCTAAACCCTAAACCCTAAACCCAAGCCTCAAGCACAACCCCGAAGACCCAGACCCAAACCCTCGTAGATAGTACCCCTTCTCATACCCTGATGTCACCCATATAGTGGGGTTGAGGGTTTAGGGTTTAGGGTTTAGGGTTTGAGGGTTTAGGGGTTCAGGGTTTAGGGTTTAGGGCCCTTGTAGAACCCAAGCCAACCAATCTCAGGATCCGGAGTCGGGTTAAGATCCATTTTGCCTGGATCACTATACAGTCGATCATTGCATGTGATCATACGGTTGATGATAGAAACCCTGCATTACCCATAATAAGGAACATACCACAATTCCCATAGTTCAGGGCCCTTAAGGTAATGCAGGACTTATACAATCGACAGTATTATACGATGTAAAGTCGCACTATACGGGTCATCGAGCGGCTACAGCCTCAGAGGTGTATACCTTAAAACCCAACCCTTGACGCCCAAAACGTAGGTTCCAGAACGAACAACCCTAGACCTTAGCAGCGCGACCCTAAGCCCATACTCTAAACGGAAAAGTCACCTCAACTTAAAAGAACCCGAGCTTAGATCCTGTCCCCACGGCAAAAGTTTAGGGGGGCTTTTCGGTGTAGCTGCAGGATCCGAACCTGCCTTGAAGCACTTGGGGTTTAGGGTTTAGGGCATCCCGAAGAGGACCTACGCGCCGATACCGGCAAGAGTGCGTGCAAACGCGCCCGTCTTCGGCTCAGTATGTTTTCGTGCGGGGTCCCATGCCATCACTCCTCTGCTCGCACCCGTGCTCGTCCTGATTCTATACCTGTATAAATTTGCTTGTACCAGCATCTATACCGCGCTATCCGCGGGGGACCTCTACATGCATGCACATCTGAGGCCTGAAACCCTGTACAACTCGAGCTCCTCGAAGAGCCACTAAACATACTAGAAGCATGAACTCTAGACCTTCAGATTCGGTCCAGGGCTGCATTGGTCGACTGCACGAGTCGAAGTCACCTAAAAGAATGTCGTGAGATCCTAGCTTTGACAGTCCGGGCACCTCAAAACCTCCGAGTCGCGAAGGCCTCTGTGCAGTAAAGCCAGCATTTGTTTGCCTCTCGCGTTCCATCTCCTTCCCGATCTCTTGATCTTGTTCCTCCGACTCCCTTTTTTCTTCTTGCCTCCTCGCTCTCTCTTTGTCTCTCTCGCTGTCTCTCGCTCTCTCTCTCCCGCTGGCTGTTTCTCTCGTTCTCATTATCTCTTTTTTTGTCTTGGTGTTTGTGATTTTTCCGTCCTTCATACGGTCGCGAGGCCGCGGGAGGTGCACCCCGAGTTGGACATCCGCATACCGCAGGTAAGTCGATGAGTCGTACTACTGGTCTTAGTGGGTGGATAGGGTGAAGTGAGTGGAAGGTCGACGACATCGACTCTCTCCTGTCCAGCACGGACTTCGGGTACTTGCTCTTCCGTGCTGCACTTAGGGCTTGCGCAAGCCTTGAATAAGTCGATGGCGGATCCGTTACCTTGTATTCTCGCGTAAGTGACTGGGT